TTTTTTTTATTTAAGTTTATTTTTTTTTCCAAACATTTTTTTTATTCGTTTCGAAAACGACAAACGAAAGAAATTTTTGTAAAAAAAAAAAAAAAAAACCTTGAACCTGAATAATTATTAAACTTTAAAAACTATAAATTTTTTTTTTTTCAATCAATCAGATATTTAAATTCATTGTCGTAAATTTTTTTGGTGTATCATTATACCCTCTCCTTCCTCCCTTCCCCCTTCCTCCCGCTTTTGTCTTTTTAAGATTTATTAAACATTTGAGGGGCATCGTTTTCTTTTTTTTGTACCTTCTTCAATATGGTTGTTGTTGTTGTTGTTTTTTAACAAATCTTGATTTGTTTGATTTCTATAAGGGTCTCCTTAGTTAGTACGATCGATTAATTATTTTATTTAATAATAATTGATTTACGTTATCATTTTTTTTTATTAAAGAAAAAGAAAGAAGGTCTTATTTATTTTTTATCAAAAATATGTCGTCGGTTTTATTTCTTTTCTTTTTTCTTTATTATTATTATTTTTTAATAATTGTTAATGAAAAAATTTTCAAGGTTTTTTTTATCGTCGTCGTCGTCTGCATTTTTTATTTTTTCTTACCCGTAATTTTTTTTTTTTATATTATTTTATTATTACTTTTGTATTTTTAAATTTTTTTTATTTACCACATTAAATGAGGGATACGAAACAATTAATTTATTAAATTAAGATCACATCCCCAATCGTTAAATTTTTTCAAAATATTACTTAAAAGGGGGAGGGGGGAAAAATCCCAATAAGTTAAAATGGGAAAAAAATTACAACGCGTCATTCATTTCGTGGGATTTTATATAAAACTCAAAAAAAAAAATTAAATAAAACCCGAGAGGTACCCTAGACATACCCGATTATTTGAAGGAAACAAAAAAAAATGATTAAAGTAACTTTTACCACCCGTTTGTGATTTCTCGGGGGTGTTGTTGCCCCCTTAAACGGGTGCTTTAATAAAATTACGTAATGATACAATTCACACACACACACACACACTCTCTGTCTCCTCTCTCTCTTCTACTCTCTATCACTTTCTCTTTCTCTTTTATTCATTTCATTAATCGTAAGAAATTATTTCGAATAGATTGTTTTAACCGTATAAAATCAAGAAAATTAATTATAATTAAATCATCATCATCATCATCATCATCATCGTCATCATTAACACGTAATTAATTACGGTAATAAAATAAAATAATTTTATTATTAATTTACCTTTAATTTATTCTAAGCGGGAAAATAATTTATTAAATTGAAAGACCTGCCCTCTCCTCACACTTAAAATTTTTTTTTTAAAACTTTATTATTATTATTATCATGGCAATTTTATTTACGTATGTTCGAATTTAAAAATTCGTAAGCATTTTAAAAAATAATAATAATAATAATAATGGGACTCAGTGCGTAAACCATTACGGTGACGTCAAATAACAAAATAGGAGGAAAATTTAAATATGTCTACTAAGTAAGTGAGAGACTTAATTAAACCTTTTGAAACGTGATAAAAACCATCGATGAAGGATCGATGAAGGGGTAAACCTTTTTTTTAAACAAAAAAAAATCCTTTTTGTAATAAAAAACCGTTTGGGCAAAATATACATAAATAATAATAATAATAATAATAATAATAATAATAATAATAATAATAATAATAATAATAATAATAATAATAATAATAATAATAATAATAATAATAATAATAATAAAAAGTAGTAAAATTATTAAAATGTTGATTTTAATACAAAAAAAAAAAATAAAAATTTCCAGTTTTAACATTTCATTATTATTATTATTATTAACAACTAATGATAATAATGATAATAATAATAATGACGATTTGAATCAATTTCCCTTTAAATTTTCTTTATAAATTATTATTATTATTATTTTCTTCATTTGGTATTAATAAAAATAAAATGATGGGCGATCGGTAACAACATAAAATTAATAATAATAATAAATTTAAATTTTTTAATTGAAATTTTACGTTTAAAAGGTAAATTATTAATAATGATAATGATGATGATGGTGATGATGATAGAGATGAAGATATTAAAATTGAGAAAATAATAAAAAAAAAAAAATTTTAATGAATGATTATTTAAAAATAATAATAATAGTGTATATGTAAGTAAGAGTTTGTTTGTTGTTGTACAGTAATTGTTGTTTGTTTATCATTATTTATTAATAATAATAATAATAATAGAAATCGAAATGACAATAAATTTTTATTCAATGAAACCAAGGGAAAAAAAATAACCGTTAATTTAAAAAAAAAATGCAATCAACGTGAGTCAACCATAAAAAAAAATTTTTTTTTTTTTTCAATAAATTTCATTTCCGGTTCAAAATAAGAATATTTAAAAATAAAATTTAAAAAAAAAAAACTATTTTTGGATCATATCACGTTTTGTTTATCATTATCGATCTATTCATCGATTATTTATTTTTTGGGGGAGGGGGAGGGTTGTTTGCGTTGTCGTCGTCACGTAAAATTTTTATTAAAATTTTTTCTAATTGAAAAAAAGTTTAAAATAATAATGAAAAATGGCGTAAATTATCAAAAACGCAATAAACGCATTTTTTTACTCTATGATTTATTACGATTCATCAGGTTCTTTTGTTTTTATTTATTTATTTATTTATAGATATTACAAAATAAATAAAATTACGTAAAAACATTTTTTTTTTTAAACAAAAGAATGTTTTATTGAAAAAATTATAAATAAATAAAATCAAATGATGATGATGACGTTTTTTTTGAATTTTGTGGAAAAAAAATATTTTTTTTTTTTTTTGGGGGGGGGGGAATTTTCCTACAAAATTTATGTTGCAAACGTATAATTGATAACGTTACTGATAGCAAAAAGAAAAAAGTCATCAAAATAAAAAATAAAACATTCAAAAAATTTTTTATTTAATAATATAAAATTTAAGCGGGTAAATTTTTTTAAAAAAACTTCTAGAAGGTCATGGATTTTTCTATTATCATCATCATCATCATCATCCTCTCTGTAATTTTCTAGAATATAATAATAGGTTTTTCCTTTTCGTAAGTCTTTGACATTGTTTTACCAAAATCGAATTTTTAATAATTAAAAAAAAAATTTTTTTTTTTTTGCAATTTTTATTCGTCGCAAAAAAGGTTTCTCCCCCTCCACTCCCCTCCCTTTTTAACAAATAAAATTTTTAAAAGTTTATAAAAAAAACAAAAAACAAAATGGACGTTTTTGAATAACCTTCGTCGGTGTATTTAACAAGTCAAAAAAGAATTTTGCAAAAAAAAAAAAATTTTTTGTTTTCACAGCGAAAGCTTTGAACAAATAATAATAATAATAATAATAATAATAATTAAATGTTTGTTCGGCCCTCATTTAAAAACCGCCAAGGCTAAACTACAAACTCGGTAAGAAGAAAAAAAAAAATGTAAAAATTTTCTCCAGTTTTATTAAAGAAAACTTGATTGTAATACACATCATCATCATCTTGATCGGTATTATTATTATTATTATTATTATTATTATTATTATTATTGTAATAACAGACACACACGTTTGTCAAAAACAACAACAAAATCAACAATCGAGAATTAATCTAACGTATATGCGTTTGTTTGTTTGTTTGTTTTACGTTTACGATTTTATTTACTCTTGTTAAAAAAAAAATAAATAAAAAACATTAATTAAATAATTTAAAATGAATTTAATTAAACCGATTAATAAATAAATAAATAAATAAAACATTCGAAAAGAATAACAACAAACAAAAAAAATTTTCCGATCGTTTAATCGCACATTTAAAAAAAAACTTACGCGAAAAAAAAAAGAAAAATGGCGAGCGGTCGCCGAATTCTATTCTAACCGACAGACACTTAAAAAACAATTTTCCTTTTTATAAATTTTTTTTCCTTTTTGAGGTTGTTGTTGTTATTATTATTATTATTAAATTAGAAAATTGGTGAATTATAATGGGTTAAAAAAAAGAGGCATTTACATTTTGTATTGAATGAATAAAAAACATTAATAAATTAATTAATTAATTAAACTCAAATTTTAAAATTCAAATTTCCCCCCCCCCTTTTTTTCGATTTCTTACGATTTATGCGTTTGTGAGAAAAAATAATAATGATAATTGAAAAGAAAAAACAAAAAATAATAATAAAAGAAAAAGAGATAGAGAGAGGGGTAGAGAGAGGGGAGAGAGAGGGAGAGAGAGAGAGAGAAAAAGA